ACTATTTTTTATAAATCTAACTAATCTTTATCAAGAATATTGTAATGCTTATGCATATCAATATATGGTAAAAAAAGGCATTATTGCTCCAGACAAACAAATAGTTTTACAAGAAGCAAGAATTTCTTGGAAAACTATCAAAGTTCAAGATCAAGATATAATTCTACAACAAATACAAGAATATCTTGTATCATAACCAAGAGTTATTTACAATTATCATGCCATATTTTCAATTAATTCAGCAAAAAATTCCAATAATTATTCTTATATTGCTGAATCACGTTTAATATTCACTAAAACTCCAAATCTTCCTCCAAATGCTCTTGGCCAAAGATATGCAACAAAAATTATACAAGAATGTCAAGAGCGATTGATTGAAAATCAAGTATTATATCAACTTACAAGTGACAAAGAGCTAAAAACTCTAGTGGAAAAAAGAATACAAACAGATGATAAGTCAATCAAAGAATATCAGACAAGACTCAAGTAATTAAAACATCATGCTGAAGCATAATGTCATTTGATAGCCAAGAAAGCAAAATTATTAGAAGAGGGTATTGTTGAACAATATGATACATCTGGACGTCCTCCACTTGTAATGCAAATTCCTGATCTGTAGGATAAAATTCATGATTGTGTTGAATTTGGTATAGCAAATTGCAAAAGAAGAAAAACTACAATCAAAACCTGATCAATTAAGCATTTGTAAGAAAATTTGCAACAAAATTATAATATTTACCTTGCAAGACAAACCCTTTCAAATTATTTACAACCACGTTACCAACACACATTTGCGGTAAAGATACATAAGTATTCAGCTTTGGTTGGACTGGCTTCTATTTCAAGATCTGAAATGAAAAACCACTCTAATGAATATTATTGCTTAGCTTCTGTCAAAGGAGCCAAAGCAATTGCTAATATGTTTATGACAGATGCTGTTATTATCTCACAAGATGATAAAGCAAAAATTGGACTTGACATTCCTGCAGTCGGAAGAACATTCAAAGTAATTCAATCAGCTAATGAACCAGTACTCGTTAAAGATCATGATTTTATTTATGATAGCAAAATAAAACTAATTCCAAGTGTCTACCTAATGATTGATCCTCAAAATAGTAATGATGAACTTCAAAATGGATAACTAGTGATATTTGTTCGTCCTGAGTATTTTGTTGGTACTACATCACGTACTCATATGCAAGATTTGATGAACCTTATTTGTAATGATCAATTTACATCAATCCTGAAAAAAGAGGGCAAAGTCAAGTTAATTTGGATTCTTTTAGTTGACGGAGGTCCTGATGAAAACCTCAGATATCTAAAAAATATCATTGAATATTGTAATCTCTTCTGAAAACTTGATCTCGATTACATTACAATCTGAATGCATGCTCTGGAGCAAAGTGCATATAACCCAGTTGAAAGAAGCATAGCAAGTTTATCAGGAAAACTTGCAGGTATCACGCTGACTATAGATGAATATGATTCTCACCTCGATAGTCAAGGAAGAGTGATCAATAAAGTATTAGCTTATCGAAATTTCTTGTTTTCTGGCCAAAAGCTTTGTGATATTCGGAAATGAGACTATATCAATAACAAACCTGTCATTGCCTAATATATTGATCAATTTCAAGATCCTTTTGAAGATTCTCATGAGGAAATAAATTAGGATTGGATCAAATGTCATACTCAGATCTGTCAGTATTTATTGGATATCAAAAAATATATAAATAGAGAATGTTATAGTGAGTATACGGTACCAGAATTTGAACTATTATTGGACAAAAATAATGGGTTCTTTCCTCCCATCACCCAAGGAAGAGATAGCCATTTTCTTAATCCAATCCACCTTCTTAACTATATCGATAAATACAAAATCCCACCTTATAATCACCATTGTCTATCAATTCTGACTGAGATGCATCAATGCCTTTCCTGTAATATTTGCGGCAAATATTTCCTCACCTTAAAGTTTATAGTTGACCATAAGAAACATAAACATCCAGGCACCCGAAATTATCATCATGCACTGTCAAATTTTGTTATGACAGAAGATGTATCTCAGAGCCAAGAAAACGTGTAGAATTTGAATGATGGTCTTGTTGTGCATTCAGACATTGAGTAAAAAAGTAAACTAATTACCTGGCTTAACAAAGATGGTAGAAAGATCTTATAATATCAAGAAATTAAAAAGTACAGTCAAAGCTCAATTTAATGATTATGCAATTTAGTGATGACTTAATAAAATATTCGGTTTACTGATAATAAGTTTACTTCCTACTCATAGGAAATAGCATCGTGATTTAACGATATCATATAAAAATCATGATATACTGAATATATTTTTTTTTAATCTCATGATCATATATCACGTGTTATTAATTT